CAGGTTGCCATTTTATAAAAGTACTTCCGAATCTAATGCTTGTTTTGATCTTTTACATATTGATCTTTGGGGGCCATACAAACTTGCCTCATTGACAGATTATCATTATTTTTTCACCTTAGTCGATGATTACTCCCGTGTAACTTGGACTGTTCTTCTTCCAACTAAACAACAAATGTGCATTGCCATAGAACACTTTATCCTTAATATCAAAACCCAATATGGCACAACTGTAAAAACCATTCGATTCGATAATGGTAGTGAGTTTGTTAACAAACAGTGCTACAAATTATTCCACCAGCATGGTATAAACCATCAACGCTTCTATCCCTATAGCCCTCAACAAAATGGCCGAGCTGAAATTAAACGCAAACACATTTTTCAAATAACCCGATCTCTCCTATTTCAGGCTGAATTGCCACATATTTTTTTGGGGGAAGCCTTGCTTATGGCCACACACATCCTTAACAGACTACCTTCTGCCATTCTGGGTTGGTGCTCACCATTTCAAAAGCTTCATAACCAATCTCCTACTCTTTCTCTCATATTCACACCTTCGGATGTCTATGCTGCAGTGTTGACACTAATCCACATCACACTAAGTTAGATTCCATATCCAAAAAATGCTTGTTCCTGGGTTATCCATCTGGCCAAAAGGGGTTTACGTTGTTTGATCTTGTTAGTAACAAAGTTTTTGTCTCTAGAGATGTCCACTTCTACAAAAATATTTTTCCATATCCAACATGCTCATCCTGCTCTTCCTCTCAACCAAATGTAGCTATGTCCCCCCATATTCCTCCTGCCACAACCACCTGTCTAGCCGCTGCAGACCTTCCTCTTCCTCATACTACTGCTCTATCTTATATATGTGAGTTCAACACTTCAACTAATTCTCTGGCACCTTCCTCCACTCTTGTACCTTCTCCTAATCCTCACTTTGTTGGGACTCCGACTGTACCTGCGTGCCCTCCCACTTAACCTCCCAGACCTCACCGCCCTCGCTGCAAGCCAGTTTGGCACAAGGATTACATTATTTCTACCCATTCGGCACATTTATGGCATCATGCATGTACTATCTGTGAGCATGAACCAGTATCTTTTGCGCAGGCTATGAAGGATCCTTCTTGGAGGGCTGCTGTCACTGATAAATTACAAGCCTTGGAATCCAATAGCACCTGGGAATTGATCACTTACCTTCCGGCACCAAACCAATTGTCTACAAGTGGATTTTTCGCATAAAAAAATGTTGATGGTTCAATCCACAAATATAAGGCACGTCTGGTTGCAAAAAGTTTTCTCCAAATGTTGGGGCATGACTTTACAGAATCATATGCTCCAGTGGCCAAACCTGTCACTATGCGTCTCTTGTTGGCCGTTGCTGCTGCAAAAGGCTGGCCACCCCATCAACTCGATGTGAATAATGTCTTTCATCATGGCTGTCTCGAAGAAGAGTTGTATATGGTGCCCCCATCAGGTAGCCAGGTTCCCTCCGGCCTTGTATGCAAACTACAAAAATCAATTTACGGCCTGCGCCAGACACCTCGTCAATGGTACAAAGAGCTTTCAGGCAAACTTCTTCATTTTGGCTTGCAGAAATCTACACATGACACCTATTTCTTTTTTATGGCATCTGGCTCCACCTACACTGCCCTTCTGGTTTATGTGAATGATGTTTTGCTGACAAGGACTGATCTTCCAACCATTCTTCGTGTCAAGGCGTACCTTGATAGGGAGTTCACCATTAAAAATTGTTGGCAGTGCAGATTATTTTCTTGGTATTCAAATTGAATCATCATCTTCTGGTTTCCTTGTCTCACAACATAGGTTTATTGCGGACATCCTCCATGATGCTGGTCTCAGTGATGCATCTCCTTGTGCTACTCCATTGGCCTCCGGCTGCAAGCTCCAACATGATGGCGTTACTTTCGACAAGCCTACATTTTATCGTTGTGTTGTTGATCACCTATTGTACCTTACCATGACTAGGCCTGATCTCTGCTTCGCCGTTCAACAACTCTCCCAGTTTATGTCATGTCCAACAACTCAGCATTGGAGGGCTGTGCAACATGTCCTTCGTTATCTTCGGGGTTTCAGTCATCTCAAGCTCTTATTTTCTTGTCAATCTGAAATTGCCCTCACTGCCTTTGCTGATGCCGATTGGAGGTGTTGCTTGGACTCTCGCAAATCTCTTACAGGGTTCGTTATATTTCTTGGCTCTTCCTTAATTTCCTGAAAGACAAAAAAATAGCCAACTGTATCCCGCTCCTCCGCTGTGGCCGAGTATCGTGCCTTGGCTACGACAGTTTCAGAAATTTTATGGATCACCTACATCTTACGTGACTTTCAGATTTCTGTTCCTCAGCCCGTGTCCCTTTTTTGTGACAACCAATCTGCGCTGAAGATGGTGCAAACTCCGGTCCATCATGAGCGCACGAAGCATATTGATATAGATTGCCATTTCATTCGCGATCATTATGCTGCATGAGTCATTAGTCTCAGTTTTGTTCCATTTGCTCAACAGTTGGCAGATGTTTTTACAAAGTTTTTCTCTTCTGCTGTCTTAAACTTCTTTCTCTGCAAGCTGAACTTAATTGCTTCACCTGCTCAACTTGAGGAAGGGGTGTTAGAAGGTGATAAAGGATGATGGATGACCACATTGACAAGTGTATGTATATTAGTAGCTGCTTGCAGTTGATTAGAAATTTGTCACAATTTGTTGTGAATTAGTTTTAGTTCTATCAATTCTGAGAATCGTCTGCTTTGTCATTCTTTTTCTTCCTCATTTTATTTTTTCATCGTATTAGAGTCATGGTGCCCGTATTGGGTTTTCGAGATTATCATCTCGATGGGAGAGTGTTGAATATTGTCCCGCATTGCTAAATGTGTGGGAACTCCCCTAATATATAAGCGTGAAAATGTCACTCCATATATCACCAATTGGTTTTAGATTGGATGCCCGAATTCCTTCTTAACAACTTTAAAAAACGTTACATGAAATATATTTTTATATTTTCTGTGTGATGAGAAAATGATTTTCTATCTATATCTTTTGTATATTGAGAAATTTTATGCAATATTTTTTAAAGTATAAATGCTCAGTATGCAATCTTTAAAATACATGAATGATTTAAGATGAATTTCAAAATCACATGGAAATTATGAATAGTTTTATCTTATTTATATACATATTTTATAAATTTGATATTATTTATCAGTAATAATTTTTTTTAAATATCACATTAAATATATTTTCTTTCGCAATATTATGTCAATATTTATATACTTACTATTTAAAAATAAAAAAATAAAATTCTAAAAATTCCTATCTAAACGGATACAAAAAGTAGTCATGAAATGCCAGCTCCTTTTTACTAGTATTCTTGTTAGGAAGACTTTATGCCAAGGCACACGGCAACTCCAGTTTGTTTTTACTCATGTTTTTAATATATTATTTAAATAAAAATATAGTAATATTTTTTTACTGTATACATAAATTTTGATATATGTTTGATTCAATTTTGAGTTGAAAAAAGAATTTAATTAATATGTTGTTGGTATATATATATATATATAATATTTTGTGTGCTATCTATACAATACCGACATTAATTAATCAAGACAGTAACAACAATAATATATTATCATCAAATTTTTCATAATTTTTTTTTTTTTACAAAATACACCACTCGTCCCTTAACCATCTATTCATTTTCTTATTTTGGTTCAACCATAATAAAGTATTAATTTTTATTTTTTTAGTAACTGTACTATCTACCTAACATCACAAATACCCTTACAATTTACAATATATTATACAAATATCATCACATTTATATCGTACAATAGTAATAAAGTTAGTTTAGTTTTTTCTTTTTTTTAGTTTTACTATATTTCAATATAATACTAATATTTCTAAAACTCTGCACAAAAAACAAACTGATAGATAGATAGATAAGAGACGGAGGGAGTATCAATCTAAATTATCACTCTCTCCGTCATCCAATTATGTGTTCATTTGATTGGACACGATTTTTAAGAAAAATAAATAAAAATATAAATTTTTACTTTTTTAATAAATAAAATAAATAAAGTGTTATTCTTTTTAAAAAAATAAAAATAAATTCAAATGAAAAAAAAAATGAACAAATTTGAATGAAGTATATAAATATAAAAAAACAAAAAAAACACGTAAGCACATCCAACCCGTGGATAATTTTTTATTTCTTTAATTGTTAATGCAATTTATTTAATATTTTTAAAACAAAATACATTGGGCTAAGCCCATTAATATTTAAATAAAATGTCCAATAGAGCTTACAATATCTAAAATTTTGAAAATTGGGCCATATTTTTTGGCCCAACAAAATTTTTTATTTCTTACAATTTTGAACACAATTACCTTTTTATGTGATTTGAAATCTTGTCCAATTAAAAAATTAAACACGAGTTTGGGCAAATTTGGTTGTTTTTTTTACTACTCTTTCTGTTATAAAAAAATTATGTTTATTTAATTAGGAACAAATTTTAATAAAAATGAGTAACAATTAATTTTTTGGTAAATTATAACTCAGTAAAAAATAAAAATCAAAATCAAAATAATAAAAAATATTTTGAGTTAAGGCTCGGAACAGTAGAAATAAATAAAAAGGTAAGAAACGAACAAACCTCTGTACAATCGGAAACTATACAGGATGGACCTTGTCCTCCCAGACACTGCAGACCGTCTATCGAGATTCATCAAAGACGATCGACGGCTTACATCTCTCGGGTGTTCCGGTCCTGGGAGCTCTCACAAATGGCACGTGACAGGGCAATGGTGGCTGGCGACAGCTCATCCAAAATCAATTCTCAACAAACCAACGGTAGACAAAAGTACAAATTTCGTAGTTCCCCACAAATCAAGTCCGCGATTTCCCCGCGCTTTTTATGCCCCCTTATAAAAACCCCCCGACGACTTCCCTTTCAATTTATAAACACGTTTTTTTCTTTTTTTTTATTGCATGGATAACAAAAGCGTCAAACCCGACCACGATTCTGCTTCAGGGTCAAACACGCTTTTAAATGTACGGTCGCCTCACGACAAATCCCCAAATCCTCTGCTGCTTGATCCCTCCGATGCGGCGGCGCCACCGCCTCCGCCGCCAATTTTGTCGCCGGCGTCGGGGAGGCACCCGGTTTATAAGGGAATAAGGTGCCGGAGCGGGAAATGGGTGTCGGAAATTCGTGAGCCGAGGAAGACGACGAGGATTTGGCTAGGGACCTACCCGACGGCGGAGATGGCCGCCGCCGCCTACGACGTGGCGGCGCTGGTGCTGAAGGGGCCGGAGGCGGTGGTCAATTTCCCTGAAATGGTTAATTCGTATCCGCTGCCGGCTTCTCTCGCGGCGGCGGATATTCGGGCGGCGGCTTCGGCGGCGGCGGCGGGGGTTGCGACTGGAGGTGGATTTCAGTCGCCGGCGGTGGAAGGGGAGGGTTCGTCGGCGGCGGCGGCGGGAGGGGAGTTTGTTGACGAGGAGGCGCTGTTCGGAATGCCGAAACTGCTGGCGGAGATGGCGGAGGGGATGATGATAAGTCCGCCGCGGCTGAAATCGGAGGCGGAGACGGAGGAGTCACCGGAGAATTATTCCGGCAATGATGGTCTTTGGAGCTATCGCTGAGAACATTCGAGAATCATCCAGAACCATTAATATGTAATGTATGGAGATATAATAATATAAATAAGCACAGTTAAGATGAGCGCGGTGGCGGCGCCGCCGGCTCCGGCGAGTAACTCCGCCGTGGTTTGAATGTTTGTAGTTTAAATTGGAAGCTTGCTTGAGTGTTTTGTGAGTGGGTGGGTATCTGGGATTTGGGAAGCTATATTGATCCTATCCATAAGAATCGTTGTTCCAAATACGTGTATGTCGCATTTTTGGCTTCAGCGACTTTATTTGCGTTTACAGTCGACGGTCAGGATTAAAGGGTGTAGGCAATGATGACGTCATTTGCTTATGTAAAGTTGTGCTGTACAAAATCAGCGATGTGAGAGTAAACCCAAAGTCCTCTAAAAAAAAGAAAAATTGTGGAGATAGATTTGACGCTTTCAGGTATTGTCCACCAGACATATTTTATTATTATAATTTATATTGTCGAACTTAGTTTGTATTTTATTAAATTCGATCGAAAATTTACTGCATTCGAAGTGTAATAGTTACGGATTCCCAAATTATTTTTATTTTCTTTTTTTGTTTATTCATTAAATTTACTCTATTACTGTGTTTGGAAAAATCAAAAAAATCTATTTAATTATTATGTTTAATTCAATACTTAATTACAATAAATATCACGAATTTTATTAATTATATTTTCAAAAATATATCAACTGTGATTTTAATTTTTCAAAATTTATAATAATATATTTATTTTTCTTAATATTTACATCAATTTTAAATGAATTAATTTTTTGCTTGAGTATATAAATTTTATAAAAGATAATAAAATAAAACTAAAAACAATAATCCAAAAGACTCCTAGAATGAAGAACGTGAATCGTATCCAAAACGTCACCGTCGAAAAAAGCAAAAGTCCAAACCACTCGATAATCGATCACTCATTCACTCACTTATACTTTGGTTCTATGGGCGAATCCAGGCCATTGATTCCACCACAAAATGAACGGTGCAGATTAGGGAGGGAGGGAGTGAGGTGTCTCACTTGCTCCATCAACTCAAAGTCAAATCGGCATTGCTGGAGGTGAGGTGAGTTGAGGAGAGTATTAATTATTGATTAATTATTTAATAAATAAAATAAAAATAGATAAATAAGCACGTGGTCCACGCGTTTCCGTGGCCGGCCGGGAGGCGGCGGCGGTGGTTTAATAACTGTCGAAGCCGTGTGCCGTACACCGGGTCAAACGACGTCGTTCGATCATCAACCACTCTAAGGAAAAGGACTCCTTTGTTGCTATTACCGTTACTATTGCTTAGGTGTTCTAGACTATACTTAGACTAGACTAGATTAGGCCAGATAATCATTTTAGGGTGTGTATAATCATCTTAGGGTGTGTTTGTCTAGAAGTTTTAGGTTTTGGTTTGAGATTTAAACAGTAAAATTTTTAAATTTAAATAATTATATTATACTCCATGCGTTCCAAAAGTATAATCTTATTGTATTGAACACCGGACTTAAGAAAATATTGATATTGTATTGGTAGTTGTTAAAAAGTAATAGTAAATAACTGTTTTGCCCTTATGAGTATATTAGTGTAAAAAATAATAGTAATTGTGTAATAATAATAAAAATATATGGATAATTTTACTGTGATATGGTTATTTATGGAAATGAGACTATTGTTTTGAGACAGACAAAAATGGTAAACAAGATTATTGTATTGAGACGGAAGAAGTATGATATTTTTAATGTAAAATTTATTTTTAATATTTCCTCCGTCCCATAAGAATGATACTATTTTTTATTTTTGTCCGTCCCAAAATAAGGATATAATTGTATTACCAACCTAACATAATTAATACCCTTACAATTTCTAATATATTATACAAATATCATTACTTTTATATTACACAATCTAATAGGGGTATTTTTGTCTTTTTACTATAAATCAATATAATACTAATATTCAAAAATCTACGTGCAAAAAGTAAACGTCACTCTTCTTATAGGACGGAAGTAGTATAATATTCCTTCCGTCTCACTTAAATTGTCTCATTTGTCTTAGGCACGGAGTTTTAGTTATTAATTACTAAGTAATTAAAAAGTGTACCGGTAAAAATAATTATGGTTTAACAAAAATAATTACAAATTAAAATTAAAATGATTAAATAATTTAATTTAAATAAAAAAAATCTAAATTAAAAATTTTAAAATGTTATTAAAATGTATAATAATAATTCTAAAAAAGAAAATGACAAATTCTATGTGACAGACCTAAATAGAAAAAGTGGACAAATTATATACAACAGAAGGAGTATTTTTTTTTAGTAAAAATAATTTTAAACTAAATATCAAAGTATTCATACATTTTATTTTTTATATTGCCTTTCAAGAATAAAATAGAAAAAAACATTACTTTATTACATTAATTATCTATAAAATACTTCATATTTCCGGCTCTAAGAGTTTCATTTACCTTTTGCGTCATTGTAGTTAATATTAAAAATATCCTTATATTTGCATAGTTTTTCTTATAAATGTTATTATATTAATATTACAAGACATTAATTGAAGTATTTTTGCAATTTTTTTTAATGTGTACTACATTTTGATATAATAATTAATATTCAAAAATCAACACGCAAAAAATAAATAAGATCCTTAGAGCCGGACGGAGATAGTATTAATTTACTTTCATATGCATACAAAAGTCAAATAAGAAGCTTATCAAATGATCAAGAATTACTCCCACCGTCCCTTCACAATGTATCCATTTTTTCATTTTGATCCGTCTCATAACAAAGTATTTATTTCTTTTTTTTTAAGTAACTGTACTATATACTTAACATTACAAATATCATTCCAAATTACAATATATTACATTAATATCATACAATACTAAAAGGGTAATTTAGTTTTTTTACATTTATTTCTATTATATTTCAATATAATACAAATATTTTTAGAATTTTTATGTAAAAAGTAAATTGATGAATAGATATAGGACGGAGAGAGTATATTTTATCCTCTCACATAAACTTATTTTTTATACTCCCTCTGTCCTAATACAATAGTCTTGTTTACCATTTTTGTTCGTTTCAAAACAATAGTTTTATTTCCATAAATAATCATATCATCATAAAACTATCATTACTTTTTCATTTTATTACACAATTGTCACTACTTTTTACACTAATATACTCACAAGGACAAAAAAATATTTTATCATATTTTTTACCAACTATCAATATAATCTTTAAATTTCATACCAAATTCAATTAAAACTATATTTACGGACGAAGGAGTATTAATTATACAAATCTCTGTATCTTACCGTTAAAAAAATATATATAAATCAGATAAAAAAATTAAACAAACAAACCCATATACATCCAAAAACAGGGATTTGAAGATAATGCATTATTAGAGTGGGGCCCATCCAATTCAGCGGGATTATTCCACGTGGCGACGCGTGGGTGGGAGGGATGCTGGCAGTTAATTAACTGTCGGGGCACGTGCGTTCGCACGTGCGACGTGTATGTTAGTTGGGATATTCAGGACAAGGTATCATGGGCCCCACTTCCACTTTCGGACATAAATAAGATTTTGTGTTGGCCGATTCTTGGCTGAGCTGTTTGCATGCATGTTAATGAGCCGAGCCAAGCCAAGCCAAGCCAGCTCACCTAACCTATCCTTCTTTACACTTCTTTCCTTTATGTCCCTCACTTACTTGGTCTTCAAATTATATTTTAGTTATTTTGTTGCATATAATTTGATCATTTTTATTATTATTTTTTTTTTGTCAGTCTCACATAATTTATCTTTTTATTTCTTAAAAATATAATTATACATTTTAATTATATTTTAAATTTTAATTTTTTGTAATGTTAATTAAACTATTTAATTATCTTAATTTTAATTTATAATTATTTTTAATATATAATAATTATTTATACTAATACAATCTTTAATTACTTATTAATTATATTTTAACTAAATTTTCGTATCTACAGTAATTAATTATTATTATTTGTTGGAGGAAACTCATCATCATCAATAATAATAATAAAAACAATGTTAATTTATAGATGAATCATATTTCATGAGCATATGCTAAAATTAATGGTAGTATATATTGTATAAATTATTATTGTTATATACTGTCAATTTATTTATTATTTTTATATTATATTAATATAAATTTTATATTACTTTCCCAATCTCATATAATTTTTGTTCATATTTTTTATTTTTGTCCATCTCACATAATTTATACTTTCATTTTTTGGAAAATTGATTATATACTGTAATCATATTTTAAAATTTAAATTTTTTTAATCTTAATTAAACTATTTAGTTATCTTAATCTTAATCTATAATTATTTTTACTATATAATAGTAATTATTTTTATTAATATACTTCTTAATTACTTACTAATTATATTTTACCTAAATTTTCGTATCTACAGTAATAAACCCATATTATCTAGGACGCACTACAAGAAATTATCAATTTTGTAACGAAGTTTTTTCGTTACTAAATTCATTTTTTCCGTTACTAATGATATTAGAGACGGAATTAGAGATGAAATTACGTTAGCTACGTGAACTTTAGTAACGAAATTCCGTTACAAATATACTATTTTCTTGTAGTGACGGAGGAAGTATTAAATAATAGTTTATGTGTTTGTCTAATATTGGGTGTGTCGGTACCACCATAACTGTAATCCTTGGGTTATTATGTACACTAGTTGATGTTCTTTTGTTAATAAACTATTATTCAGCATTGTACTGTCAATACCTAAAATATAATTCTAAAATAAGTAAAGTATAGTCTCGTAAGAGATGGTCTGGTAGTATGGGGTAGACTCGTGACTGTAAAGTCATGAATTTAAACTTTCGATACTTTCAGATCTTATTTATCATATATGATTCACATATATGAACTGACAAAACATGTAGTAATTCATACAACATATATTATAATTAAACTTAACACATGATGTCTATAAAAATAATACATTTTTAAAATATAAATTGATAATACATATTGTATTCATTCAAGATATTGATATTATATAAAAATAACACACTTTTAGGCATTGATCAAGAAGTAGACTTTCGATATTTGCAAATTAATTTAGGTGCTTCCATGCTCTTTTTGTAAATCTTAGGGCATTTTATTTGTGAGTTTTGTTTTGTTTTTATTATTATTATTTTTTTCTTTTGTTGGTTTTAAAGGATTTATGATCAAGATCTAATATTCGTTGAGAGATTCATACAAAAGAAAATTAGTACTCCCTCCGTCTTAGATAAAATGAGCATGTTACCGTAGATACGAGAATTTAGGTAAAGTATAATTAGTAAGTAATTCAAAAGTATATTAGTAAAAATAATTATTATTTAGTAAAAATCATTATAGATTAAGATTAAGATAACTAAATAGTTTAATTACGATTAAAATTATAAAATTTTAATTTTACAATATAATTAAAGTGTATAATCAATTTTTCAAAAAAGAAAATGACAAATTATGTGGGACGGACGAAAATAAAAAATAGGAACAAATTTCATGAGACGGAGGGAGTATATTTTTTCACTAAAAAATAAAATATGAATATCCATTTTTATGAAAAAAAAAAAAAGAAAAAAAAAGTCATCAATTTGAATGAAACAGTGATTATTAATAAAATTAGGGACTGTTGAGATATGAAGCTTGATTATATTCTAAAATGTAGGGATATGATTTGGATATTATATTCTAGATTTAGAGATATTATTGGCATAGACTTAGCCTATAAATATCAATGTATTCTCACTTTAACATGTATCTACGTACTTTATAGTAAAATTTGTGGCTTGGCAACGCCTCCAGACGTAGATCATTGTGATCGAACTGAGTTACCAAATTTTTGTGTTCTTTTATCTTTGTTGTTTCATCTTAATTTTCTGAAATTTTCGTAACAAGTGGTATAAGAGTCTGGTTCGTTGGTAGGGCAGATTGAGAGGAATCAGACATTGGGTCGTTGTGGGAATTCCTTGTGACCTGTGGAGGTGCCTTGTGTCGAAAGTCTCATGGCGGTGTTGGGTTGGTCCCGACTGGTAGGTCAGGCCCGCCCTTTGTGATAGGCGGTGCAAGGTTGGCAGGGAAGGATAAGGGTTTCGCGGGGGAGATATCCGATGTGCTCTCATATCAAGTGAACCTTAGGTTTGTTTGTGGGAGTCAAGATGGATGAAGTCGAGTAAAAGAAGATCGACAGGAAGACGATGAGTGCGGTTCGACTAACCCTTTGGGAGAATGTCTCGACTGAATTTAGATCTGAGGCAAAGTAAAAGGGTGAAGATCAAGAATGGTCAAAGTTGAAGCCGGAGAACACGGACAAGGAAGATGCAAGTCAGGTGGTATATTGAAACTGCAAGGGGCACTTGAAACGACAGTGCAGAGCGCTGGAAAAGGATCAGGGTTCGGCAATCACAGCGGATGAGATATCCAATGCGCTGATTCTGAGCGTCAGCAGTCCAATGGAGTCATGAATTTTTGTCTCAGCAGTGTCATTCCACTCATGCAGTGATTCGGGAATAATAGAATCTTATACCACAGGTAATTTTGCTGTTGTCTATCTTGCAGATGATGAGACACTGAAGATTGTAGGTAAATGAATGATTCGAATCAAAACACCGAATGACGGGGAGTGGAGAATGAATGACGTGAGCCATGTCCCGGGTCTGAAACGAAATCTGATTTCCATGGGACAATTGGATGAGGTAGGTTACTCGACAGTTTTTTAAACTAAGTCGTGGAAGTTAACCCAAGAATCCATTGTGGTGGCCCATGGGAGAAGTGATGGAACTCTCTACATGACGAAACACATGCAAGACGGAATCAGTTCCATTGCCATAAATAATGACACAAATTTATGGTGTTCTCGTCTCGGATACATGAGCGAGAAGGGGATAGGGGAGCTCAGTTCTAAGGGAAGATTGTCAAGTCTTAAGTCCGTCGATATTGGAATATGCGAGGACTGTATCTTTGGGAAGCAACAAAAAGTGGTGTTCTCAAATGGTGGGAGAGATCTGAGAAAGGAAAAGTTGGAGTTGGCTCATACGGATCTGTGGGAACCAGCTTTTGTATCGACCCTTTGAGGCTTACAGTACTACACCACGGTCATTGACGACATTATAAGGGAGATATGAGTATATTTCCTTAAGCGTAAATATGGTGCTTTTGATACCTTTAGGAGGTGGAAAACACACCCAATGGGAGTAGTGAACTGATTTATGAGCAATCTTGGAAGACAACCTAAGGTGGTGATACAACCTCAATTCATCTAAGGTCGTATTCAATCTCAAATGGCTTCGATTAGTGAAGAAAGAGGCTTGGCGCTGTCATTGCCGATGAAGTAAAATGTTGAAATGGAAGATGCAATCAGTCTTCGAGTGGAAGATTGTTGAGATATGAAACCTGATTATATCCTAAAATCTAGGGATATGATTTGTATATTATATTCTAAATTTTAGAGATATGATTAGGATATTATTGGCATAGAATTAGCCTATAAATATCAATGTATTCTCACTTTAACATGTGCGTACTTTATAGTAAGATTCTTGTTTGGCAGCGCCCCCAGACGTAGATCATCGTGATCGAATTGAGTTACCAAATTCTTATATTTTTTGGTCCTTGATCGTCTCATCTTGATTTCCTGAAATTTTCGGGACTTTAATAGTTCTGCCCCTAATCCTAATCTTGAGCTCATGATTATTATTTTCAATTATTTTTAATTTAATATGAACTGTATGGATATGCATTTTTCTATCTTTATGAAAAGTTGCTCGTTTTTAGATTAGAGACCTTGAACACTACTATCAACTTTGGAACATTTTGAGTTTTATTTGGTGGAAATTTGACGAGTAAATAAATGAGTTTCTTGTATATGTTCAACCTATTCGTGCATTTCTATTGCATTTATTCAGAAAATATTTTAAGATATCAAATTTAAATTAAATAAAAATTTAGATTACACGAGTATTTTACTTGAAACTTTAACCTTATAGGAATATGCGTAATTACATAATTTATCTACAATCCAATCAAATATCGTATTTTAAACCCAAATTAAATTATTTATATTGTATTTTATATAAAATATTATTCCAACTGAAATTTTGATTGTTCTCAATTTCAAACCCAAATTTGAACAATAAAGAACACAATGGAATGTATTTGTTTTATGAGATTTTGGAGGATTTCTATAATGTTTTGTTTTGTGAAATAATTTGAATGAATATTTTTTATATGAAGTACGAAGAATTGCGTAGAAAATATAAAAATAATAAATGTGTATATTATATTAATATTTTTAAAAAAACATATAAAATAGAAAATTGAAAGAATACATAATTCTTTTATTTTTTATTTAAATAAAAAGTTTTAAAAATATATATGTACTTATTTTTCATATTGTATACTTTTTCTGTCCCAAACTAATGTATCCATTAAATTTATAAATTTTATAGTAGATTAAAAAAATAATATTTTATATTTTAATTGATAAGTACAAATGTATATAATTGTTTTGATAATTTTTTTTTTTTTTCGGTTGTCCTTTATATATACATATATGTAATGTCATATTTATAATTTATATAAAAGTTAAGCGCAATGTGTTCTTCTTCTTCTTTTGTAAATAATTTTAAAGAAATATTATTTTATGTAAAATATAAAAAATTGTGAAAATAATATAAAAATAAATATGTAATATATTAATTTTTTAAAAAAATGTGTGGTTAAAAAAACAAAAGGAACACATAGAGTGTATCTGTTTCTTTAGATTTGATTTTAAAGTTATGTTTTGTATAATAAAAATTAAATTTGAATAACTATTTGATTTGATATAAATAAATATTAATAATTTAATATTTTGAATTTAATCGGGTTTTAGTATAATACTTCTTCTATTTTAATTGAATGTAATTTTTTCAATTTTGATTGTCCAACTTAAAAATATCAATTTTTTATTATCATAATAATTTTTATTTTTATTCGAGGATAAGATAAAAAAAAAAAAAAACACTAAATATAAAAAAAAAAAAAAAACACGAAAAAAAAAAAAAGAAAATTGGAATCGAAGTGGAACCTTCTTAGTGACAAAACGGAGCAATACATTGAACTATCACTGACTACAATTTCTGACACAATATATACATAGTTCCATCTCTATCAGTCAAAATCGATTAGAATCAGTCAACCCTGACACGTGTCGAAATCCTAACCGCCTCACAGCTGGGCGCCACTCATCCGTCCGTCCGTCGTTTTCGAACCATACCCAGAATCGAGCTGGCAATTAGCTTATCATCCTTTCCGTGTCTTTAGTACATAACATTTTGCGTCCCATTCCCTCATTAATTTCCAACTATACATACATACATACATATATATATATATACACTTCAATTCCCCCCATCGGAGACACCGCCGGAATTCCTCGCCGGAAAATTTTCAAACTTACAATTTCACCGATCCGATCGACGATTCAATTTCGATAATGCAGATGTTCAGGAGATTCTATTCGGACCCGTTTCCGGCGGCGGCGCAGTGGCGGCCGACGGCGGAGGAGGAGGCGGCGGGGAACTTCTCCGACGAGGAGGTGATTCTGGCGGAGAATAATCCGAAGAAGAAGGCGGGGAGGAAGAAATTCCGGGAGACGCGCCACCCGGTCTACCGCGGCGTGCGGCGGCGGAATTCCGGCAAGTGGGTTTGCGAGGTGAGGGAGCCGAACAAGAAGTCGAGGATTTGGCTGGGGACTTTTCCGACCGTCGAGATGGCGGCGCGTGCGCACGACGTGGCGGCGATTGCGCTACGGGGGAAGTCGGCGTGTCTTAATTTTGCCGACTCGGCTTGGCGGCTTCCCGCGCCGGCTTCGTTGGATCCGAAGGACATTCGGAAGGCGGCGGCGGAGGCGGCCGAGGTTTTCCGGCCTCCTTCGGCGGCGGCGGCTGCGGCGGAGGCGGCGGCGGAGAATGAGGGGGGGTTTGTGGATGAGGAGGCGGTTTTTGGGATGCACGGGTTGATTGATGACATGGCGGAGGGGATGATGCTGCCGCCGCCGCAGTACGAGGATGACGTGGAGTTTGATGCTGACGTGTCGTTGTGGAGTTATTCGCTTTAATTTAGAAGGGAAGAAGTTTTTGCTATTTTAGTGTGTTTAGGTATATGTCCGTACTTTAATTGGTTTTTCTAGCTTGTACGGGTGGGGTGGGGTGGGGGGTTGGGGTGGTGTCTATATATATACAGATATATATATATATAGATATGTATGTATGTATTTGTGTTAGTGTGCCGAAAAAGGGGTACGTCCCACGGCCATGAAGATTTTCCAGTTCTATTTATTAAAGTTTAGATCTGGTTTTTTACTAATAATCAAATTTTTCTTCAAAGTAATCTTATTTTTCATTTAATACTATATTTTAAAATATCGAAGGTGGTAAATAGTATGAGTAAAAAACTTATTTGCTCTTGTAAGTGTATTAGTGTAAAAAGTAGTAGTATTTGTGTAATAATAATAAAAAAATAGGGATAATTTTATGATCATATAAGTATTTATGAAAATGAGACTATTGTTTTGGAACGGACAAAACTGATAAACAAAACTATTATATTAGGACGGAGGGAGTATAATATATTGATGTTGAAACAATATGTGATGTTATATATTTTTTCTATTCTACTTTAAAATATCTTTTTTATTTTTTATAATAAATTAAATAATAATAATATTTTATTAATAGTGAAAGTACATTGAAGATTTTAATATTTGTTTTTTGATTTTATGAATAATTTTAAAAATAAAAAATTATGACTATTTTATGTATAATTGATTTAATATGTAATGGTATTTTTAGAATTTAAGTAAAAATTAATAATATTTTAATATTAGTGTACAGTTACTATGTGATATGTAGGTTGAAGTTAATACTGATATATGTTGCGTGAACTATTATAATTTGATGTTAATTATTATGTTGTATTAAATTATTAGGGTAAACTGTTTTTTAGTCTCGTAACGGACCATTTATAATTTTAGTCTCATAAGTGGAGTCTGCCGCAAACTAGTTTCATAAGTAAAAACTTTTCGTTGTTTTAGTCCTCCGGCGCCGGAGAGACCCGCGTGGCTCTCCGGAAGCCACGTGTCCGTGAGGTCAGCGGTCAGCGACACTTGGCGGACACGTGGATTTTATTTTTTTATTTTTTTTTTAATTGGACCAAATAAAAAAATTAAAAAGACAAATAAAATTTAAAATAATTTTTTAAAAAATTAAAAAGACAAATAAAATTTAAAATAATTTTTTAAAAAAATAAAAAAAAAATCTAGGTGTCCGCCAAGTGTCACTAACTTGGCGGACATGTGGCCTCTGGCGAGCTACGCGGGCTTCTCCGGCGCTAAAGGACTAAAACGGCAAAAAATTTTCACTTATGGGACTACTTTGCGACAGACTCTAATTAAAATAACAAGGGGTCCAGTTAAAAAAAAAAAAAAACAGCTTACGCTATATTTAATATTATTATGAGTTTATTTGTTTAGTATTTTAATTTTAATTTTTTTTATTTTATATTTTATAAATAATAGTAGTATTTTATATTTAATGTAAAAAAGTATTGTGCAAACAAATCCTATATCTAATTATTTACACACACTCAATTTACCAAACCTTCTATTTTAGTGGATTGAAAATTGAATTTGTGTTGAAAATAATTTGAAAAATTGATAATTTTAGCTTTGGATAAGATAAGAGATATTGTAAAATATCCCCTTTCCGAGTCAGTTTTTTCTAGCATTTTTTTTTTCTCACTAAAAAATATTTATTTCTTCAAAATAATCACATTGAAATCAAAATATCACTAACTTCTTTCTCTCTATGTTTCTTTGAAAAATTAATACATAATGCTCCCTACGCCCATGACAATTTTTTTTAGTCTGTCCGATAACAGAATATTTATTTCTTTTTTTTAGTAACTGTACTATCTATTTAACATTACAAATAACTTGTAATTTACAATATATTACACAAATATCATTACCTAGTAAAATTATTTTATTCATTTTTACTTTATTTCTACTATATTCCAATATAATATTAATATTTCTAAAACTGATATGAAATATAAATCGTACATAATCAGAAAGACTCGTAAAGTGGAACTCCACGGAAGGAGTACTAAAACAAAAACATACCTAATAACTTAACAAGATTTTTACATTCATTTTGCTATGAAAAAACAAAATTTCAAATTCAAGAAAAACATACCGTTAGACATCATCCCAAATCCGCAGAGCATTGAACATAACAACATCCTCGAAAATCTTCGACAATCGAACATCGACGATATTCGAGTTAAACCTGTGGCGATACAACAAGTAAAGACTTACTTGGCCTTCTTGACGAGAACCGAGGTTCTGAAAACACAGTCGTCTCTAACGAAGCTCCACCAGAGGTAGGTGAGGGGGATAGTCGTGGCGTGCCAGAGAGCATGAGCATCAACAAATCCCCAATATGGAGGAAAATCGTATATCTCTAATAGCATCGCTAGCAAGCCCCCGAATAAGACGACCCATACCTTGAAACGGGCGGGGTGACGAGTGACGCCGGCCCATATTGCCCATATCGAAATCTGGATTAATCCCATCGCGACGCACACTTTCATGTTTAAACCTGCCATATGCGCATACAAATATCGACCAAGTACCGATCAAGTAAGTAGATTTTGAGGGAAAAGTATAGTAGACTCCTAGAGGCCTTGATACAAGAACAAAAGTTAGACTGCGTTCTTTTGTAGATTTCTCACGAGAATTTTACTAACGATTTTATGTTTTTCCTAAAAAGAATATCACATCAAGCAACTAATATTATTTTTTATATTATACTAAAAATTAATTTTACATTTCAAATATTATATTAATATTTATTTATATCAGATTAAATAACTATTTATAATTTTAAGGATACAATTGTCCATCCACCCATCTATTATACTATAGAGATATAAAATACTAACATATGTACAAAAAGTAAATGGATAGATTCATACAGGACGGAGTATCCAATAAATACACATAACAATAAAAATTAATAAAAACACAAAAAACATCATTCTTTATAATATTTTCATGATTTCACCTAAGAGTATGTTTCTATAAGGCCCAATTTCGGCCTCGCACTATTCATCGAAAATTCTCATCCAATAGCATCAGATCAACGCCTATATATATATATATATCCCGCCAAACACTTCTACTTCAATTTTTTTACTCTACACAAACTTCAAACCAAAATCCAAACCTTAAAAGAAACTCAAAGCCACATCAACTAATCTTAATGCAAATGTGAAAAGAAGAGAACTAATTTGCAAAGAACATTTAAGTCGCAACGGCAATCCTAGCACCGAACTAGACGAAAAGTATCGAAGTTGCATGCACAAGATTTACACGGTAACTAAATGAGAGCGCAGCGAACTTACCATAGTCGAGCTGATAGAAGTTCAAATATAAAATATGCGTCGCCACAAAAGCTAATAGGGGAGCCGCAACCATGACCCTGGCTGCCTCAAGTCTCACATTGAAAGCTCGAAGAATAGACAAAATGAGGGAATATCCGAGTAACGCCACAGCGGATGAGTAATCTAGCTTCTCGGTAAGATCAACATCCCTGCATACATAGTTTCAAAATGTATCGAGATCAAAACAATTATATACATATATAAATATATATATTTTATACGAGAATTCTATATAAAGCAAGTAACGATGCAGACCGACTATGGAAAACTGCGCTCCAAATCCAGGCGTTCATGGCGAAGACTGCATATATGTTCCACAGACCAGTGTACTCGTAATATGTCCTCTTGTTTGGCCTAAACGGCAGCTTGTAATTTACTAGGATGTAGAAGGATACCCATCCGTGAAAATGTACGGCAAGATTGAGCGCAGAAAGAGCAACCGAAGCAGGTTCCTGGCGACAAGACGAAAAGCAATTTAATAATCATTTTCATTTCACTGTTCGCCACTCGAATAAACTCTGTTTCTCACCTGGATCCCGTAAATACGCTTGAATGGCCATTTCCCATGGTATTTTACCGGCTGATAGCCAAGTTTCTGTCTTTCTTCTTCTCTAGAGACCATACAGTGGTAGCGGCAGTCACTCCGGCAGTCCCATTGTTTCCACTGCCTGTAAAGCGGCTCCTGCAAATACCAGGGGCCGTCTGTCGGGATTCCATCAGAGGAAAAGTTGCAGTGTTGGAAACACTTGTCCCCTACGCATCCACTCTTTTCACATTGCTCGACACAAGCCCTGGAATTAGAATCGATTTTTAGAGGTTAAGAGAGCCGGGAGGTGTTGGATCTGCAGTCAGATGTCGGTAAAGTTCATGTGTATAGTATACTCGACTGTCTTCACTTTAAAGAAACATTATTCAGAAGTTAAGAGGCATAATCAACCATAAAAAGTATGACTACTACAGAACAATGAGCAGAATTTCAGTACCAGAATGCATGATATTTCAGTACAGGTTCATTCCAAGATGGAACACTTAGAAAAGGCTTAAGTTCCTCGGAAAAATGCTCGCTCTACTCTTATATGCTAATCAGCTAATTTTCCAAATAGAATGGTAAACTATATGCAAAATCTGACTTCCACTCTGCTCGACAGATGCCATTGAAGAACTCCGACTAATCTTAACTTCTTTAACCCCAAAGTTCAGCTTCAAATCATTATTCGCGTTTTCGATCTACAATTGTGATGTAAGAACTAAGCACACAAGTTTCAATTACAAATCGAATTCCCAAAACTAGAATCTGCTATCAGTTAACTTACTTTCACATTAAGCAGTTCTTTTTCATAGTTTCAAATCACAATGCACTCAAAGAAGCACTGAAGATTCCCAAATTCATCAAGCACCACATAATTAATTTCCTTAAGATCACTACATCCAAAAACTTGAATCAAGAACACTGCTGAGTGTAGATTTCTGGAGTTAAGTATTGAAGAACCTTATTCATACACTAGTTTCCATGGACGACAATGAAAGCTCCATACTAAGATACAAATTCACCTTCTCAAATCTCATCTACTTCAACACAGTTCAGAATAAATTGCTAAATAGAGCAATGATTACTTCAGCTCTACTTCCCAACGACTCGAAACAAAACACACGCCCAGCAATTACCCAAATTCCCAATCCGAACCGCCCCAAATCAACCAGATTCCAAATAACCATAACCAAACTCACAAATTTCAGCTGAAGAGCAATTCAAAAAGCTCACCTGTACACCGGATCAGCATCCCCAGGGCTCGCGTCAAGCAATCCAATTAAGAACAGTACGGCCGCCACAAACACAAGAATACACCGCTGCGCCATTGGAGATATCGCTGAACTCAGAAACCGAAAGAAGAACACGGATAGCAGCAACGGCGGCGGCGGCGGAGCTTCTCCGATCACGGATCAATTGTAGAAATACGATCTTCCCAATTCATGGATTTCCCGAATCCCTGCCCTCCAAGAAATTCGCAAGAACAAAGATTTAGGCAAATGGGAATCTAGAAGAAGGGCTGTAATTAATTACCATCAGTTAATTATTTTTATATTTACCATTAATAGAAGTCGCATTTTTAAAAATACACAAATAAGTAGAAGTCGCATTTTTAAAATACAAACAAAAAAAAGCTAAGAATCGCGTTCTGGAAATTGCAGAGAATTGCAGGAACCTGAAAAGGACGATGCATAAATATCATCAATGGCGAATTCCCTTCAAACACGTACGTATCGATAATTTACTGCTAAATTTTCGCTAAATCTGACCAATGCCTGAAGGAGTTTGGGCAGCGAACTCCAACCCCCAATAATGGCTGCCATTCCCTTCGCTGCTCCCGCGCGATTCTCCTCCACCCCAAAAGCCCTAACACATTTCAAATCCGCCAAATTGAAGTGTAAGATCGCGAATCGTTCGAATTTCCAGAGGATTTCTTTCCGACTCAGCAGTACCAAGGCCAACGCGTACGTGTCGGGGCCTGCTTTCGACGCGATAGTGAGCGAGGATGCTCCGAAAATCGACGGCGCGGAGATTGTGGAGCTGGAGCCGCTGGACGTGATTAGCTGGGGCTTGCTGTGGAGACTAATTTCGAGACATAAATTGAGAGTGTTGGCCTCTGTTCTTACCCTCGTTGGCTGCACTTCTTGCACTCTCGCCATGCCTATCTATTCTGGTATTCTCCAGATTCGTTTCTGTTGTTCAATTTACATTTGGTTAACCTGTGTTGTTGCCATTGCACATTTCTGGTTAATATTTTGGTTGGAATCATTGTTTATACGTACATACGTATATATAAATCTATAATATGTATATATGTTTGGAATTGGAGATAGATGAATGAGTATGAAAGTTCTGTCACTGAAATCTGCAATCAGAAGAAATATGAGGAATTGTCGAAGATGGATAGTTTTCAAACTGCAGATAAGCTTTGTTGATGATTAAAGATCCTTAGATGTCTTCGATTCAAAAATTGTATTGTCTGTGTTGTAATACTCTGTTTAGGACATAAATTCCTGCGTGGATTTCTTTCTTTGGTTGTATTTCTAAAGATCCTTAGATGTCTTCGATTCGTAAATTGTATTGTCTGTGTTGTAATACTCTGTTTACAACATAAATTCCGGGGATTGATTTCTTTCTTTGGTTGTATTTGTTTCTGTTTATTCTCATTTTATTGGAGTTTTCCTAACACAATCATTGATTGCTGAAAATTTTGAAGATGGTTTTAGTTAAGAACCCCATTGCTGTTGTTGGTTCAGGGAGGTTTTTCGAAGTGCTTATCGGGGCAAGACCGGAAGCGATCTGGCAATTGCTGAGTAAAGTGGGGATTCTCTATTCATTGGAGCCCATTTTCACGATCATCTTCGTCGTAAACATGAATGGCATATGGGAGAAGGTTATGTCGAGCTTAAGAGCTCAAATATTTCAGCGAGTTTTGATTCAGAAGGTGCGATCGGTGTTAGGATTGTCGGTTGAAATCTAAAGTTTATTAGAAGTCCATTCGAATTGGGAATTTTGGGATGAATCTAGAACTATACTTAGTGTCGATCAAATCTCAAAGAATGATTCTGATTACTGTCGTTGTTGTGTGTTTCGCAGGTGGAATTTTTTGACAGGTATAAGGTATTTCTTTTCTTAAAACATTGTAGTTCGAAGAACTTGTGTAGATTAGTTATAAAACGGTTTTGATGTGATTCTTGTAGGTTGGCGAGCTAACGGCGCTGATAACAACCGATTTGGGATCGCTGAAGAACATTGTCAGTGAGAATATATCGAGAGACCGTGGCTTACGAGCAATTTCCGAGGCAAGCTATTCTACACTAAGCAAATGTGAGCTTTATGTTAACAAAAGAAGTAGTAAAGTTCTCACCCGATTGTTGATGTCGCAAAACCCGATTAGTTTCTTGCCATATCTCAGAAAGATCGATCATTTGCTCGAGTTTTACATTTTGATCGATTGAAAATGATTGTATCGATCTTTTTGCAGGTCGTCGGGACGCTGTGCTTGCTTTTCGCTCTTTCTGCGCAGCTTGCGCCGGTTTTGGGGCTTCTCATGCTTTCAGTGTCGGTACTCGTTGGTAAGCGTGGTTCATCTTCGATCAGAATTTAACGTTCATCACGCCGTGCGCGACTTATATATGATTTTTCGTAGCTATCTATAAAAGAACGACGGTGACTGCCTTTAAAGCTCACGGATCTGCTCAAGCCTCGATCGCTGATTGTGTTACCGAAACTTTCGCTGCGATACGTACTGTAAGCACACGGTCTCTTTCTACACGTATCGATCGATTCGTTGTCCCGTTAATTACGACCGTCTTGCAGGTTCGATCATTCGGGGGAGAGAAACGACAAATGTCACTCTTCGGTAGACAGGTAGAGCAACTGCTACACATGCTAGTATCGAGATTTTACACTTTATGTAGCTTTGTTATACGTGTTCTTGATCGAGTCTTTCAGGTTCTTGAGTACGAGAATAGTGGCGTAACGCTCGGTGTATTCAAGTCCATCAACGAATCCGTCACGAGGATTGCCGTTTACGTTTCTTTGATGGCGCTGTATTGCCTCGGAGGAAGCAAAGTGAAAGCGGTAAGAGTTTCGAGATTCTTATACGTGATATAACCTCGACGCTGAATCGTTGCCATTAATTCATCGTGCAGGGCGAGCTCGCAGTAGGAACCATGGTTTCTTTCATCGGATACACTTTCACATTGACCTTCGCCGTAAGTACGATCTTTCTTCGAATCGAATTTTCACGAGCATTAAGGAATCGACGATTTTGTTCAGGTTCAAGGGGTTGTGAACACGTTCGGGGATCTTCGCGGAGCCTTCGCTGCTACCGAAAGAATCAATTCCATTTTAGCCGGTGCCGAAATTGACGAAGCATTGGCTCATGCTCTCGAAAAAGACTTGAAGCGGAGAAGAATTCCCGATCGAAATCTCGACGATCTTTTGGTCAATGGCTCCAACGGGAACTCGCAAAACCGCGGCACGGGTTATATGTCTTCGTTAAAATCCGCCAGCGATGTTCGCAGCCTCGCGCAGTCGGGTGATATTCGCCTCGAAGGTACTCCCGTCGTCGTAATAATGCGTCCTTTATCGGTATAACTACAGCCCTTTTCGACATGTTCAATTTTTGATTGCAGACGTTCATTTCGCGTATCCGTTAAGGCCCGATATCGAAGTCTTGCAAGGTCTCGACCTGACTTTAAAATGCGGAACCGTTACCGCTCTCGTTGGCTCGAGCGGTGCGGGCAAGAGCACGGTTGTGCAGCTTTTAGCTCGTTTCTACGAGGTTATACTCGATCCTCCGATTTTAATCGTAAATATTGTTCCTCGATGAAATGACGGCAGAACGACTTCTGCCTTGCAGCCAACGAAGGGTCGAATTACAGTCGCGGGAGAGGATTTACGATCGTTCGATAAGAGCGAATGGGCGAGAGTCGTATCCATTGTCAATCAGGTATTATATCTGTCGATCGAAGTTTTCATCGATTTCTCGACTGAATGGTAAACTGCCACAGGAGCCTGTTTTGTTCTCGGTTTCGGTTGGAGAAAACATCGCCTACGGCCTCCCCGATGAGTTCGTTTCGAGAGATGCTGTGATCGAAGCGGCGAAAGCAGCGAATGCACACGAATTCGTAATCGGATTGCCACAGGTGAGGCAGCTGCCGTATTTTCATCAAAGACTCCGCCTTTTCGAGACTTACGATTACGTGATCTCTTGCAGGGGTACGACACTTTAGTCGGCGAGCGCGGAGGTTTGTTAAGCGGAGGACAGAAGCAGGTTCGATCGATCGACTCGGTTGAATTCCCGATTCTTTAAAAACCTCTCAGCTCTAATCCTGTCTTGTGTTTTTTTCAGAGAATCGCGATCGCGAGGGCGCTGCTGAAGAATGCTCCGATCTTGATTCTCGATGAGGTAAGAACATTACATCGAACGTTTCGGAGGATGTGGATGCAAGAATTTTAAGTTCGATTATACGATTTTTCGCAGGCGACAAGTGCTTTGGACACGGTGAGTGAACGTCTCGTCCAGGACGCACTCAATCGATTAATGACGGGAAGAACGACGTTGGTGATCGCTCATCGATTGAGTACTGTTCAGAACGCCGATCAAATCGCACTCTGCTCGGAAGGGAAGGTTTCGGAGCTCGGGACGCACTCGGAGCTGTTGGAGAAGAAGGGTTCGTACGCTTCTCTCGTTGGGACTCAACGACTCGCGTTCGAGTGAGGATTTCTACGATCACTATGTAAGAGTAAGAACTCAAAACGCTTTACTTTCCTTTTCCATATTTAAACCTCCGAAAGATCGAGGAAGGAAAACGAACGATACGAGAATTATTACAGAGATTAACATCGTAGTAATCAAGCGGGCGGCGACTACGCGTCCGAAAACGCGATCACAGCGTTCAAAACGGCAAGGCACTCGGTAGGAAGGCCGAGGAACGTGTCCATGAAAACGTCGTCGATTGGGTCGACCGTTGCGATCCCGACGAGTCTACAAGACCCGTCTTTTTGCATCCTCTCCCCTTTCCCGCCTCTCATCTTTCCCCTTGACTCTTCCGTCGTAAGAACTGTGTCGACGAGCATCGGCGGAGCTTTGTAAACGGTCCCGACAGAAAACCAAAACTCGGCCTTGAAATTCAGCTCGATCTGCAAGAAAGACGACGGGTTATTATTAGCATCAACGAAATGGGTGTGTATTCGTGAAGAAATATCGTCGACAAACCTCCCCCGATTCTCGGTCGATCGTTCCGTAGAGGGCCTCGGGGACGATGTCGATTCGGAGGAATGGCGGCAACGGCAGGCCCAAGAATCGAGCGGTGTTGAATGACATTGGCGGGATGTAGAGGCGCTGGGCGTCGAACATGACGGAGAGTTGGGTGGTGCCGTTTTTGTCGTCGATTCGATCAACGGCCGACGTTTTCGTTGTGGATGATGACCCGAGACCCGAACCGGACCCGGATTCGGCATTGTAGTCGAAATCGGGGAAGATTGAAATGCCAAGTTTGCAAGATTTGCGGGTCTTGAAGGTGACATTGTAGGATGATGATGATGATGCAGTTGAGGTGGTTGTTGTACGGACAGTAGAAGTGGAAGGGAAGAAGTTAGGATGTAATAATGGCAAAGGACGACATGGGAATAATGAAGAAGAAGAAGAAGAAGGTTTTGGATTTATGGTTTTGTAGAGAAGATGTTGGGGTTTCAGACAACCCATTTTTAGATAATGAAAATAAATAAATAATACCTAGAAGAAGAAGAAGGGCTTCAATGGTGGATATGAATATATATGTATGTATATGTGTATATGTCTGTGTGGTGTATGTTGTGTTAGGAGTATGGAGTTCGATAAGACAATTTCAGACCACGTCTCAACCCAAACCTTGAAAAGAAATAAAAATGTATAAAAATAATAAATCATATCTAAGGTTAATAGGCTGGTTGTAATTTATAGATTTCATTTTTTATTTTTTATTTTTCAAAGAAAGTTTTAAAAAATTTATAGATTTCCTTTTTTTTTGTCAAAGAAAGTTTTAAAATAATAGAATGGGTATGTTGGATAAATGTATTTTTTTATATTAAGTATAAAAAATTAAATCAATAATATAAAAATAATAATATTTTGTGATGAATTATTGACGTTGGTTAATAAAATATATATATTTTATGTAATGTGAATATGTATATATTATATTTTTGCATTATTTATAAAAACTTGTATAGTATGAATTTTCTTGCTAGACTAATTTTCCAAAAATTTATCTAGTACTTATTCGAAGCGCAGCTATGGCCAAAACGAAGAAAATATTTAAATAAAATTCAAATAAACAGTTGAGATGGCAGCCAAACAAACTCTTTAACTAAAATACCCAAAGAGCATATGGAATTAGTGTCCATCGTATAAATAAATCCCAATTTTGGCATGTAAGTAGTCTCATCCCATGATTTCTCCTTATTACAATCATCCAATTTACATTACAAAGGATGTCATATTTGGTGTGGGAACCAAAATACGATAATAATCCACGCAACACATATACTGAATTCCCGATAATAACTACTAAAGATTGAACATGACCTTGATGGCATTGCCGCCGCCGGCGCTCGTTTCGAACGCCGCTTCGACTTCTTCCTGCGAAAATCCGAACCGGTGAGTGATCAACGGCTTCACGTCGATCTTACCGCTCGTCAGAAACTCCAGGCACAACGGCCACGTGTTCTTGTACCGGAATATGCCTACGATGTCGACCTCCCTGAGATTCAAATCGACATTTTCTGAACATCACTCACTCGTGCATCCAAACGAGAAAGAACATGGATCAGCTGCTGATCCGATTAAGTCAGCATGATATTGATTTGATCAAATCAGTATATATTTATACATATTTTAGCATATTTATAATATATATTATATTATAACTCATCATATGCTATCTTATAACCCAATATATATTGACCCGATCAAATCAACATTATGTTGAATTGGCTGGATTAGCGCAGGATCTGCAGCCAACGAAAAGATCAAAATTGTAAAATCACCACCGTCGAATTTTTACCTTATAGAAGCGGCTGTGAGGGGGACCGTCATCTCGTTGTGGCCCATCCCGACAAGACAAACTTTCCCACCCGAAGAAGTCGCCAACAGCGCCGTCGACATCGTTTTCGTAAATCCCGCGCAGTCGAAACATATGTGGATGTCACCCCCCATGGCCTCCTTGATCCGTTCGACTTCTGCAGCCGTGTCCTGTTTTTAAAATGTTGATAGGGAATCATGGCTGTAAAAATGGCGGATTCTAGAAAGTCAAATGTGACGAAAGAAAATGGACTTACATTTTCACTAGTCGAAACTTTGACAGTCTCGTCGGCTCCAAGCTTCTTGGCAACTGAGAGACGGGCATCGTCTACATCCACAATCACAATTTTAGGGGATCCGAAAGCGCGGGCAGAAAGCAATGTCACGAGTCCTATGGGTCCCGCGCCCATAACCAACACATTTGTCTCCGGGCCAACGTTGGCACGGCGACAGGCGTGAACCCCGACGCTCAATGGCTCGCACATAGCTCCCTCCTCCAAACTCACGTTATCGGGAAGTTTGAAACATAAATCTGCAGGATGCACAATCTGCAATAAAATCGGCACTTGGTTACTACGATTGTTATTCACATTATTCTTACAATGTTATTCTGATGTCTTCATTACAATCGGCACAAAGAAATGTCACAAGCACAGATCATCAAACTAATAAGTCGGTAATTTAAGTGACTGTTTACTACAATTGGTACATTACCAATAATTCAATATATGCTATTCAATTGTGGATAAAGTGTAAATTTGTCGCAGAAGTCAATAAATATGGAAATTTCACAAATTACGCCCGGCTGAAGAGAATACTGAGCTCAGTCATGCCTAAAGTCGATTGTGTGTAAGAAATGAATCAACTGCAAGTCAGTACTTAGATGTATTTAGCTACAATATCAAGATTTTCATCTCAATCGAAAAAAGAAGAAAGGAGCCATACGGATTCGGAAGAGGAATCAAAACAGAACAACCGATATGCAATTCTTTCAGCAAGAAAAACACAAGTAACTCGGAAATTCTTTATTCTTCTCCATACTTGAATTCATCTCCTACAATTTGTTCCTCGAGACTTCAAATTGCCTAACTCTTCTTTCTAGTCCAAGAATAATTTAGGAATTAGACGTTCAACGAATTTGTGAGATTAGACTATTAAACCCGAGCAGAGTGTTCTTCATTGCTGCTTTAATCTTATTTCAAGAGTTAAAAGCTAAATCAATCAACTTCATCCATAATTGTGTTATCCTTCGATCTAAGCAGTAATTTAAACACCGAATTCTATCTTACCATTCACAATGCATGATCTACACAACTCCGCAAAAGTAAAATCAAGCAAGTATCAAATAAACCTGATTTGCAAGAGAACCATGGTATGGAGGAGTGGCAAAGAACTGCATCTCAGGACACAGATTATATCTGCCTTCCTTGCAGAGATTACATCTCCAACAACTAATTCCCGGCTCGATTGCGACACGGTCGCCGGGAACTAGATGCTTCACTTCACCCCCAACTTCCTCAACAACACCAGCACATTCATGCCCAATCACCATAGGCTCCTTCACAATGAAATCTGCAATCCTCATGTACTGAAAAAACATGATCAAAACCATCAACAATCATTTTGGCAGACAAGTTACAATTGAATACGCTATCAATTTCAAAGGCTTCTGAATCCTTAAATCCATTTCAATGGCAGACAGGTAACAACTGAATACGCTATCAATTTCAAAGGCTTCTGAATCCCTAAATCAATTTCAAAAAATCAGCAACAGTTGAATTTCAACAGATTCACAACGCCGAGCTGCAATCGACTCGACGAGGAATCATAACCCTAATCCAATTTCAGGTTTTAATTACCTTGAGGTAGTGCACATCACTTCCGCAAATTCCAACCGCTTTCATTCGAATCCTCGCATCATGAGGACCTAGAGATCAACAGCAACTGAGTCAACGATTCAATTCTAATTTCTGAACAAACAAAATTGAAATACTCAAATCAATACGAATCATCAATAATACTCAAGTATTGAGTAACAATTCACCAAGAGGAGGAAGCTTAAACGGCAGGATTTTGAGATTGTTGACTCCGAGAAGCCAAGCCGCCATGTTTTCTTCCTCCCCAGCGTCTCCATGAGACATCCCGCCCTTCCCCATTGCCTTCAGTGATCAAAAACTGATCTTCGTCTTCTTCAGTCCCCACAAGAGCAGATATAGAAAGGTTCTTCAGATAAGGATGAACGAGCAAACCGCAAATGCACAGAGTGGATAAAGAGACTCCCTCAAATCACACATAATTTAAAATAAAATAAAATTTCACTAATTGCATCCTAAATTTTGTGACACGTTCAAATAACTAAAGGATATTTTTAAAAATTATATTTATTAAAGAAAATATTTAATATAAATATTAGTAGTAAAATAGAATTAAATTTAATATAAATAAATTAATATGAAAATAAATATATTACTTCCTCCGACTGAAAAGTATAGTCTTATTGTATTGGACATTGAATTTAAAAAATATTGATATTATATGGGTAGTCGGTAAAAAATAAGAATAAATGATTTTTTTGTCCGTGTAAGTATATTAGTGTAAAAAGTAGTGACAATTGTGTAATAATAATAAAAAAATATTGATAATTTTATAGTGATATATTTATTTATGCTGAGACTATTGTTTTGGGACGGACAAAAATGATAAACAAAACTATTGTATTGGAACGGATGAAGTATACTTTATTTTTTCATAAAATTAATATTTTATATAAAATATTCTCTCCGTTCCAATAAAGTTGTCTTGTTTTCTATTCCTGTCCATCTCAAAATAATTGTCTTGTTTTCTTATTTAGTAATTGTGGTCCCCACTTTATAATAAAATTATTCTTACTTTTTCAAATTACCCTAATTATTATTCTAACGTACTTTTTAAAATCATTCAAAAGTTAGGGTATTTTAATCTTTTACCTTCTGCTTTATACACACTTCCAATTAAATACTATTATTGCTTAATTATCGTGTCTACTCCCAATAAGACATTATTTTTGGGACGGATGGAGTATTATTTTTTATATTACGAACAATTTAAAAAACTATTTAAGGTTACATACATAGATATTTATATAATATTTTGAATTTAAATTATTTTTAATTTAATAGTTCTTGTCTCCTAAAACAATAGTCTCAATTCATAACCAACTCTTCCACCTTTTTACAAAATTATCTCTATATTTTTACAATAATTATAAGTATGGATATTTTGGTTTCTTATAAATACTTTTACACTCACTATCAATATAATACTATTATTCATTACCTCTCATGTTCATCCAAAATATTTTTATTATTTCAAAACGGATGAAGTATAAAAAATAAAAAATAAATATTTGATTTGACCTTTTAAAAAAAATTATAAATAGTGAAAGACTTGTAAGAAATATTTCTTAATAATAATACTCCATCCGTCTTAATACAATATTTATCATTTTTATCCCTCTTAAAACAATAATATCATTTTCATAAATAATTATATCATTATAAAACTATCGTTACTTTTTCATTATTATTACATAATTGTCACTACATTTTACACTAATACACTCACAATGGCAAAAAAAAGTCTTTTACCCGTACATATTATCCACTATCAATATAATATTAATATTTTTTAAATCTTATTTCAAATACAACTCAAACTATAATTTTGAGACGAAGGGAATACTTTTTTATTATTATTATTATCATGATTTAAATTAAATTTAATATTCAAACACAAGCAAAACAAGCCCTATGGGTGGGTGGGTATACATGACACTTAACCCAACATTAATGTTTCTAAATTCTAACTCAACTTCCATTCTTGGTCAACCATAAATAATCACATTTCCACCCTTTTATTACCAATACCACTTAAACAAAATCAATATTTTATTTTATTTTATTTAAAAAAATATTAAATCAAAATTTTTCATTTTTAGGACGATAGTTACCACAATTAAACATAGTGTTGAAATGCGATATAAAAATAAATAACATATTATTTATCTTAATATAATATAAATAAAATAATTATTTTTTTCATCATAAAAAATATATTCACTGCAACGTATTTATGAGTATAAACAACATAATATATATAGTATTACAAAAATATACAGTATCTATTTATTGATAAAAAGAATTGCGAGGTAACAAAAAAAATGTAAAAAATATATTTTGCCTTATCCAAATAAATTTGAAAGTTTACAAATAAAAGCAATAAATTTAAATAAACCAACACAAATTTTAATAATTTACTAATTGATACTCCCTCCGTCGCACATATTTTGGACGCTATAATATATATAGTGTAAAAGATACAGAAATTTAGGTAAAATATGATTAATAAGTAATTAAAAAGTATATTAGTAAAAATAATTATTGTTTGATCAAAATAATTATAGATTAAGATTAAAATAATTAAAATAAAAAAATTATAAATTATAATATTTAAAATATAATTAAAGTGTATAATTATTTTTTCAAAAAAAAAAATGACAAGTTATATGGAACAAAAAATAATATAAAATAGGAATAAATTATATGGGATAGAGAAAGTACAACAAAAAGATACAACTAACATCTAATAGATTTTAATTTAAATAAATCTAATTCTAATAATAATAATTACTTGATTTAATCAAACAATTTTATATGTGCTGATTGAAATTCATTAATTTACCAAAAACCCAACTAGTTATAGTTTACCACTATCAAACTTCTCCCTACAGTTACCAAATCTCCATGCTTAATTATTACAATAATATATATATATATATATGACCGCGGCTGCATAGCTAAATGTAAAATTCAACATTGTAATAGATAACACACGGTATAACAACACTATAGAATATGCGTTAATATAATATAAATATAGTACATAAATTAACAGCAAATGATATATTTTCACACAGCACATACTACAGTTAATTTTAGCACAAAATATATTCTCATTCAACACACGTTGTAATTATGAACAAACAAGACGTGTCTTTATTATAACCAATATATATTGTATGTAATAAAAACATATGTTGTTTCTATATTTTACGTGTGCTGATTAAAAAAATCTGAGTGGTGTTAATTTTTCAAATTCTGCCCAGTAACCCTTCCCCTATATATATACACACACAAAGCCCCTCTCGTTCTCCTACGTATACACAGATATAGAGAGAGAAAGAGCTTATATCTATCTCTATCTCTATCTCTATATATATATACCAATTAATTATTGTTTAATTCCGGCCATGGCGGCGCCGCCGCGGAGGCGCGTGAGGATTTCGGTGGACTCAGCGTCGTTTGTCTGCGCAGTGATTCTAACGGCGTTAATTCTAACGACGATGAGCGCCGTCGTCGTAATTAACGGCGGCGGCGGCGTGGAGGCGGTGAGAGGGCGGCGGATGGCGGAGCGGTCGTGCGAGGAGATATATGTGGTCGGAGAAGGGGAGACGCTGCAAACGATCGGTGAGAAATGCGGCGACCCGTACATCGTCGAGAGAAATCCCCATATCCATGACCCGGATGATGTCTTCCCGGGTCTGGTTATGCGGATCCTGCCCCGCCCCATATATAATAGTCACAGATTCTAGAAGAAAATTTAAATAAATAAATAAATACTTTTTGGTATGTACTTATGTGTGTATTTTGTATTGTGTTGTACTATACGGTATGTATACTTTAATAATAGCAAAATGGAAATTAATAAACACTTATTTTACGTAAACTTACTGTTGGAATTTGGATATGTTTTGGAAAATATGGATATTTTAAGTTTTTTTTTTTAATAATATTTTGATAAAAATATAATATATTTTTATTAGAAATGTGCATATTAAATATGAAAAAAAAAAATTTTAAAAAAATTAAAAAATACAAACCAGTGTGTTTATTTTATAAAATATTTTTAAAATATTTTTTTTATGTAAAATATAGAGAATTATATCAATAATATAAAAATAATGAATGTATATGTATTTTTTTTCTAAAAGAACATACATAATTTTGACTTTCTTTTTTTTTAAAAAAAAAATACATAAGAATAAATTAGGAATAAAAAAATAGTAGTATAATATTTGATACTACATGTATATATATGATATAAATACATAATACATGTTTTTAAATACTGTTTGATTGTAGTTTGAAATTATTTTAAAATGTAATAATGCTAATTTGACTTTTTTTTTGGTAAATAATATTTTGATATTATATTTGGTAAAAAAAATAATACTCCCTCCGTCCTATTGGAAGGTTGACATTTGCTTTTTGCAAGTAAATTTTTGAATATTAGTATTATATTGGATAATAGTAAAAAAGACAAAAATACCCATATTAGAATGGTGTAATATAAAAGTAATGACATTTGTGTAATATATTGTAAGTTGAAAGGGTATTTATTATGTTAGGTAGGTAGTACAATATTAAATTAGAAAATAATAATTTTATTTTGGGACAAATAAAAATAAAAAACCGATAATATTTAAGGGACGGAGGGAGTAATATACTTGTATATTAGTAAAAACAAATAATGCTGATTTTAGTTTGCAATCACAATCAAATACACTTAATTTACGAATCTCAGTTGTATTAATTTGTTGTATTTTTTAATAAAAAATAAATATTAAAATAAGATGATGTAAATTAATTGGTTGGTGAATTACCAATAATTTAAAATAAAAATATATATATTTTTGAGTGACATGTTGGGTAAATTAAAAAATAAAAAAAAAATAAATGTAGAGTGTTATTAATTAATAAAATTTAATGTTTGTCAACTAATTAGGCATTTATTTGGGTAGTACAAGTAATGGAATTATTTTAATTGAGCAGAAGAATGTGTATAGTTGAATTTAGTGAAAGATTCCACGGTTCATCGGTCACTGTTTTTGTGCATCATTTAACACTTGTTGCAATAATATAATTCATTTGTCTTAAATACAATAGTCTTATTTATTATTTTTGTCTGTTTTAAAACAATAGTTTTATATTCATAAATAATCATATCACTATAAAACTATTCCTATTTTTTCATTTTTATTACACAATTGTCACTAATTTTTACACTAATATACTCACAAGGGCAAAAAAATCTTGTATCTATACTTTTTACCAACTACCAATATAATATTTCCTCCGTCCTATAAATATAGTCTTAATTGGGTTGGACACGAGATTTAAAGAAGATAGATATTATATTGGTAGTTGGTGAAAAGTATAGATAAAAGACTTTTTTGCCCTTGCGAGTATATTAGAGTAAAAAGTAGTGACAATTGTGTAATAAAAATAAAAAAGTAGGGGTAGTTTTATGGCAATATGGTTATTTATGGAAACAAAACAATTGTTTTTGGACAGATAAAATAAGTAAACAAGACTATTGTATTGAGACGGAGGAAATATCAATATTTTTTAAATCTCGTATCCAACTCAATTAAGACTATATTTATGGGACGAATGGAGTATTTATTTTAATAAATGAAAGTAAAATTTAAATAAGAATTTTGTAAGTTTTGAAAATTTGAAAATTTATAAAAGTAAGTACAAAGTTAAATATTTTTAAGTAATGTTTTAATTTTTATGATAATAATTTATTACTCCTAAGGTTTGGAATTAGTAAATGTCACTTTTTTTTTTGACACAATAGTTTAAAAATAATTGTATTTTAATATAAAAATAAGATAACTCAAAATAAATTAAGATATTATAAGAAATTTATTTAAAAAATTAATAAAAATTAGCCGGTTAGTACTAGATAAAATTTTACTAATGCTAATGCAAATAAGGTAGACATTGTTTGTTCATTTATTTTTTCTATTTATTTAACTGCTTTCTTATATTCCATTCAAATTTATAGTATTCAATATTTATTTTTACATAAAAATTATACATTAAATATATATTTTTTTTTACTTCAAAATTTTATTTTTATTCTTTTTTTTAAAAGAAAAAAAAAACACCAAAATTTTACTTTTAGAAGCTCACAATTAACAATTTTATTTGGCAAAATTGTCCATAACTCCCATGTGGTTTTGAAATTCAGTGTGAATTTTTCATCTACTTTAAAAATTGCATGATGCCCCCTTATATTTTTAAAAATATTGCATGAAACTACTTTGTGGTTTCAAAACTCAGCATAAATTCTCATTATACTTTAAAAAATTACATGACATTTACTTATATTTTCAAAAATATTGCATAAAACCCCCTGCCATGCAAAACATACAGATAGATCATCTTCTTATCACACGAGGAAAGTTTCATGGAGGTGAGGTTTCATGCAACGTTTTTTAAAATATAAGGTACCATGCAATTTTTAAAGTACAAGGAGATTTTAAGCTGAATTTTGAAACCACATGGGAGTTATAAGCAATTTTACCATTTTATTTGGTGTATATATTGTTGGTAGACTTTTCTTTATAGATAAATAAATAAAAGATACATATCTCTGAAAATTTAAATTTTTAAGTGTGACATACATTTATATTATCTAACATAAGTACGAAAGTAATATAATATGAGTATTAATTGACAATAAATAAAATATATATTATATATAAATATAAATACATAATATAATTTGATAGCAATATACTAATAGTAGATATAAAATAATTGAATATTGTAAGTCTTTGTGATCATGATTATTCAATATGATTTTTGTGTTATCTTCTTTAATTAATATTAGCACTATATATTACTCAATTTCAGATTTCTACGCATTAAAAAAATAAATAATAAAGTAATAATTAAAACAATCGATTGAATTTGAATTAAACTTTATTGGTTGAACAAGAGACAATATAGAAATTATTATTAAGTAAATTATATAATATTCGTCGTATTTAGAAAAAATAATATAAAATATTTTATTTTTTATTTATCGCATGAAATTCTCTCCTGTTAAATTAAAGTACGCACAAAATATTCTCTTCTGTCTAAATCTTATATTTGGTTGTATCCGTTCATCTAATTATTGCAAGTTTTAGACAAAGTTTTTTTTTTTTTTTTGAATAATATAAATAAAAATTAATTTATAAACCATTTATTTAATAATTTTTTGGAGACAATTTGTTACTTAATTGTTTTAAAAATAATAATAAAATGGAATATTGATCAATTATTTACTACTCATTATTTTTAATCAAATAAGACTATTTAAGATATTTGACATATTTCATTCATATAAGACTTGTATAATTAAGTGGATGTTTATAACTAAATATTAATTTTAGATGAGGATGTGTTTATTTTGTATTTTGATTTGAATATATATATATATATATGTGTGAGATATAAAAAATTGAATAGATAATATAAAAATAATGAGTGTGTGTAGAATAATAATTTTTGAAGGAAAATGTGTAGGAAAATTTTTACAAAAGAAATACATACTTTAATTTAAGACAAATAATTTTACGTAATAAAAAAAATACGAAATATTATTTTGAATTTTACTAAAAATGTAAAAGGTAATATGCAATTTACCCTAGTTTTTATTATTATTAATTTAATTTTTTTAATTGGAAATTATTATTATTATTATTATTATTGAATTCCATGCATCATGCAAAATAACGAGTGACACTTGTATAGTTTTTTCAAAACCTGACTTTGTTTTTTTAAGTATATCTAGTTCAAATTATTATTTGAATAACATGTTGGAACAAGAAATTCCGTAATTTATTTTGGCATATGGTTACTTTATTCATTTTGTTGTTGTCTTTCTCAGATTTTCATTTGTAGGAATAGGTGCAACAGTTTGTCAACAATATTTTTTGTCTCTCTCTCTCTTACTCTCGGTTGGTGGGCATAGAAGACAAAAGAAATAGATATTTTTTATGGTCAACTTGTTTCAAAATTCATGCATAGATACACAATACAATTTCTGTACCAATGGGAATTATTAGCGGGCTACTGTCAAGTCCATAGCTGCTTCATTGTACGTTGTGCGTAGAGAGTTGGTTGTTGTGAGGGTTTTGAGAGTTGTGTGTAGTGAGAGAAAATGTGTTCAATCATCTCAACCCCAACTATTCTCTTTCTCCATGTATTGAGTGAGTGTTAGTCACTTATACGTGCTAGAGACCTCGTTGGAGGAAGGATAAATCGAAGTTCCGATCAGGGAAGACATCCAGATTCTGAACATCCCTGCTCTCTGGTAGTTGTCAGTCAACACGAGTTTGTGACAACGCAAGTCTGTGGAGGAGTTTTTCCAAGGTAAACAGTGTAGAGCAATGAGTTGAATATGTGGTGGTTGTGTTTGTTTTTTAATCAGCACTAATCAGCGAACTTATCTTGGATTGGTATCCTCTGGATATAAGATTGTTTATATCCAAACTAGTAAACGAATCTTTGTCTAATTAGCTTATTTGTATTTATTCATGTATTCGGTTGGCAGTAGGGTGTTGATATAACTACTCTTCAGAAGTCGGTTGGCCCTTAAATAAGTGTTTGAAGGAGTTTTGGTGCAACGCCTATTTCCCAACATAACAAATTAAAATAAAAAATCAAATCAAATGGTAAAATAACATATTTTATTATTTTACACTTAAGACTATTTTCACTTGATTTGAAAATTTATACTTTATAATTTTTTTTAATCTTAACTAAATTAATTAGTAATTTTAATCCTCATTTATGATTAGTTGTACTATATAATAATTATTTTTATTAATATGTCTTTTAATTATTTTATAATTATAATCATTGTTGTTAACGATCCAAGTCGAGCCAAATTTTAAAT